ATGTGAGTGTGACCCTAGTTGGGGTCTGCACTGCGCTTACTGTAAATGACCAAACACCCTTTTAGGTTATCACTACGTGCTACCAGTCGTGGTTCTTCAGGTTGCCGTCAATGAGAGAATCCCGTCCCCGTCGTGGTTGAGGGTCAGTTTTCAGTGGCTCCTTAAAGTCATGGCTCTGGAAGGAATTCTCACCTGAATGTCATCGGAGACTCCCAATTGAAGTCCGGTTCGTGTACATGAAGGGACCAGCACACGTGGGACATGCGTGGATCTGAATTCATTCACGTCAATCCCTGAGCCCATAAGCATATCCAGTCTTGTTGACTTGGTCTTGCTATGGAAACAGAATGTGTGTGTGTGTCCAATGATTCCCTTTTAATGTGGCCTTTGTGGCATTCCCACTCCGAGGGATCCGAAACAGCTTTGGTGGCACGCTTAGGGGCGTCTCCGGCCGCGCCAGCCCTTTGCGCTCTCTCCCGCCTCTGGTCTTCTTGACTCTGCCTTGACACCTGGTCCCGATGAAGAGACTGGAAAAGCGAGTTAGGTAAATGCAGCACAAGTCTCTCCTCAGTATAATCCAGCGCACGCCACCGTCTCTCTACCACCCTCCTGTGGAACCCGTGGTTGACCTCATCAAAACCTACGGCCGAACTGTCGTGTGACCAGAGAGGGAGGGCAAGATTAATACTATACAACTCTCTCTCCTGCCATAACTTAATTCCCGTGTTCTTTGAACAGTAATGGACCCCTTCGTTAGTCTTACCGTTGGTGAATGAGGTAGTTTCCTACGCATTTCACCGCCGTTCCTCTACGAATGCGATTTACGAACTATCGTACTTTATTTCCACCATCCTTATCATAATCTGAGAGTTTGGTAAGGAATAATTACGTTCCATTGCTTGTTTCTTATCAAAAATTTCATATTTAGGGAAGCCTGGAAGAGATTGACGAGCGAACAAATTTGTAATAAGTGCCGTTCAGTGTCACCAATCGTCTTCACTCTGTATCATCCCTGGCTTTCCTTCTCGCATGTGCTACGTCTGGTTTAACCGGTTTCAAAACCAACGCACCGTATACAATATCTACTTTGAGAGTGTTTTGGAGTCATTGACCGTTTAAAAATGCTCCTTTTGGGGTAATCGAAATTCTCAATGAAAATCTGCCCCCACCAACTAAAATAAATTTTCGTTGCACTCAGTTAAGTGGACAAATATGAAAAAATATCCCCTTCTCGCCACTGCTATGGGTTTCAGAAAATTAATTGAGAAATATCCCGCTTCGTCGCACCATAATTCGCCAAGTTTCGTTAGGTAACACAATATCTCGAATTTGGAAGGTGACCACTTTCGAGATTGCATTTTTTTCAAGTAATTTTATTTTGAGGTACTTGTAACTGTAGAGCTGTAGCAAGCCACTCTATGATTTTTTATTTGATCGACTATTCTCATGAAATGCGAAATGCTTTTCAATTATCCTTCTTCTAGTTTTGATTCCATATTTTTTGAAAATCAAATCTATATGTACGTGGCTTGTGAATTTATGTGAATAACGATTTTTATCCGTTCGCTTGTTAATCTAGGAAATATTCTGTTCCCCTGCATGCGTTTTTTGTTCTGTGGGGGTTACAAATACTTCCTCTTATTATATTTTTCCCTTTGCTTTAACTCATGCCTTGACCCCTCAGTTAAACTTTGCTATGTATCGCAAACTTCCATTGTTATTGATTGCGTTTTAGTGCAGAGTTTAGTATCAAGGTTGATTTTTTGTTTCGAGATGGCCCTTGAGAATCAACTCCTAGTCCCCTTTAGCGGGACACCAACCCCGTAGTTCATTGGTTAAAGCGGCGAACTAATAACCTAGGGAGTGTGGGTTTGAGCCTTAGGTTTTGCAAGTCTGTGGTTGGATATGGCCGGCTGATGATGGTTACTAAGCCAGAAATGGTTATTCCAGTCTTCGTAGTCTTTGTAGGAAGTCCTGTGTATTTTCTCTTTGAAGTTTCTAGTCGGTAGAAAGATCGGACTGTTGTGTGTCAACTCCTTTATAGCGTTTACTTGGTTAATGATAGCTTTTTTCGTAAAGTGGCTGATAAGTGATAGGTCGATTTGTAATTAACTGCAGTTTGCCACATAGCTTGATCGGTCAGTTCACCCGTGCACCTTCAGCTAACAGATTAGTCATTCATATGTTAAATACCTGGGCGACCTCTTTTAGCCGCCTACTTTCACTGTTGCCATGTATTTGTGTACTTTCTGGATCAGTCTCTCGATAACAGTAAATTAACTTCATTCCAACACTGTGTTGCCTGCAAATAGAAGCAGTGGAACACCCGCGTCCACGCAAACCATTGCAGCAAAGTAGTTCTCACACACCTTAGTCAGCCGTCAGACTTCCAATTTATAATTGCTCAATCGGTTAGATTATTTTTTTTGTTGGAAGTACTATAGCCGCCACCACTGATTCGGTTCTTTTTTACATCGCTGCTTAATTTATTTTAGTAGGCGTTCTGGCGGTCGAAGAAAAACGATTTACTATCAAATACCCATTTTGGTCGTAGATAGGATGGGTATTGAGCCTCACAGACACATTAGGTCGGGAAACCTTTTTGCACAATAGACGTCGCCACTGGGTCAATTCTATTTTACACAACTGCTGAATTTATTTTCAGTAGGTGTTCTGGTGATCGAAAAAGAACGGCGAAAGACTTCTTCGCAGTTGATATGGGTGCTATACAGGGGAGTAAGATTTAGGTATATAGTTTAGGGTAGACTTAGGGATTTAATTGGGGGGTGGGGACATTCGATATAAAGATGCTTCTTCGACTTCATTCTCCGTTGATCCCACTTGCAAGCCTTTTGGTTGGGGATCTTCACCTCCATTCCTGTTGGTCGGTCTATGTTAGGTTCATGTTGACTCTTTTTGGGTTACTCAAATTTCTCCTTCCCTTCAGTTTTTGCTATAATCTCTCAATTGTCATTTTTTAAAGACGCGGGCCCATGCCAATTAATTATTTACTCCTTAAACAAAGCCTGCTGCTAAGGTCTGCATCGTACTTTTTGGGCTGTTTTCCTTGCTTTCCTTTCGCTTTCCCAATATGCCCCATCCACAAAACTTCTATTACCAGAGCTCCCTTTTTAAACTAACCTACCTAACCAGTTTTCCCAATGGCAACGCCTATTGTGCTTCCGCCAACTTTCTTTGCCTACAAAGATTGACCTATCGAGCACCGATGGTCCTGGTGGCAGTAGTCTTGAAAATAGAGTCACGACTTACATACCGAATTCTGCTCTTCTCTGTTAATAGCGTTACTGCCTTGGGGGTGTTCTCCGTCTCAGTAACAAGGTCACGTTCACTGACGTGCAGGTTCGTGGGTGTTGCATTTTTCGACCGCAACATGACTTCTCCCCGGACAGTTGTGAGCTACGACTGGTGAACCTCAATTACACCGCCGCCAGTTATGCAGTTGCTGCACGTCCTAGCTCGGTCAGGCAGCTCCGCACACCGCGCCAGGAAGTAAGTTCTGTTTTTTTGTGGCAGGCCCTCTAGGTTACGCTAATCAATATTCAAATTAAGATTTTCTCAACAATTTTGGGCCCAAACTTTGGAGAATTTAGTTTCAGCTTACTTGGTGAGGGTAATAAGCACTGTTTTTAAAAAGTAGCCTATTGTTTGCGTACCGGTGTGTCATATCAGTCTGTACACGCTCTCTCAAGAATTTTCACTAGGAAAAAAGTGTTTAATATTTGTTCGATCTAGGGGGTTACTGTTTTCTTGTTCTATCCTTTTTATTCTAGTCCTCCAACTTCACTGCTTTCATGCGCGCCTGCGCAGACGCCCACTTTGAAAAGTCGTTTTCGCGATCATTTATTTCCACTCCGGTTGTCAAACCGAGTCCAATTACTGCATCCCGCACGATATCTGCCTCAACGCCCATTCAGAGACGCGGTGGAAACCTCCAGGCTCCAAGTTCTGCTACCACCGCTGTGAGGAGTCTCTCTACCCTCCTCCGTGGGGACTTAGTGTCTGCAGCTTCGGCTGCCACACCCTGCAAGTTACTGGCCCCTGAGACTACCCCCAGTTCCGTCTCCGTTACTCCGAAGCCCTTTCGAACACGTACCGGGCTATCGAGACCCCGTAGCTCGTGCCAGACTCTGCCACTAACTCCCTGCTCCGCTGCGTCCGCACTCTCGATGGCGACTCCGGCTGGTTCGGCTTCTAGGCGAACTCGTCTGAGAGCTTCGCAGGAGGCTGTGGAATCCATTCCTCCCACTGTGATGTCTCCCGGCCCTGCGAACAAGGAGCCAGTTGAGCAGACTCCAGTTAGACGTGCTACCAAGCAGCAAGAGGCACCAGCATCCCCGCCCAGTCAGTCCTCGCCTTCCTTCCTGGGTTCCAGTTTCACTGTTGAGGCTCTGGATGACCTGAATGTAAGCATTGCGGACTTGGTGAAGACACGACGCAGGAGCTCTTCACATTTGGCCTCACCAAAATCTGTCCAATCCTCGCAGCTCTCCTCTCACCCTAGGACCCCACGCTCTAGGCGCAAACCCGCTTCCAGGATGACTTCTCCTTCAGTTGACGCTCTTTAGTGTCTGTGGACGACGACAGTCAATCACTCACTTTTT